AGTGACAGGTGATTTAACCCTTTGAAGACGATGATTTAACCCTTTGAGGACGATGATTTAACCCTTTGAGGACGATGATTTAACCCTTTGAGGACGATGATTAAACCCTTTGAGGACGATGATTAACCCTTTGAGGACAATGATTTAACCTTTGAGGACGATGATTTAACCCTTTGAGGACGATGATTTAACCCTTTTGAGGACGATGATTTAACCCTTTGAAGACGATGATTTAACCCCTTTGAGGACGATGATTTAACCCTTTGAGGACGATGATTAACCCTTTTGAGGACGACTATTTAACCTTTGAGGACGATGATTTAACCTTTTGAGGACGATGATTTAAATCCCTTTGAGGACGATGATTTAACCCTTTGAGGACGATGATTTAACCCCTTTGAGGACGATGATTTAACCCTTTATATCATGACGAACCCTTTGAGGACGATGATTTAACCCTTTGAAGACGATGATTTAACCCTTTGAAGACGATGATTTAACCCTTTGAGGACGATCATTTAACCCTTTGAGGACGATCATTTAACCCTTTGAAGACGATGATTTAACCCTTTGAGGACGATGATTTAACCCTTTGAAGACGATGATTTAACCCTTTGAAGACGATGATTTAACCCTTTGAAGACGATGATTTAACCCTTTGAAGACGATGATTTAACCCTTTGAGACGATGATTTAACCCTTTGAGGACGATGATTTAACCCTTTGAGGACGATGATTTAACCCTTTGAGGACGATGATTTAACCCTTTGAAGACGATGATTTAACCCTTTGACGACGATGATTTAACCCTTTAGTGAATAATTATGGGAGATATAGAGATAAATAGCGAGAATGAAAGGAATAAGGGATAAAAATGAATAAACGTCGTGAAAGATGAAAGATAAGATTGAAGATGATGGTAGGAGTGGGGATGGTAGTGGTGGTGGTAGTGGTGGTAGTAGTAGTGGTAGTAGTAGTAGGGGTTTTATTAGTAATAGTAATAATAAAGACGATAATAACAATACCATAAAAAAAAACTCAAGCAAAAACACATTACAAAAACAATTTATCAACCAAACGAATTTCTCTATCTCACATTCACAATGATATCACGTCACACTTCTAAAAATACCCCAACATTTCTAAAACACCAACATAAAAGGAATCTCTCTTTTATATAATACAAAATTCAATAAACCAGTATAAAAAAATCGAGATAGGAAAAGAAAAAACCTATTAGAGAGGGTTTTTCTTTTTTTTATTCGTTCCAATGTTATTTTCTTTTTAGGAGATTACATCGGTAGATTTGTTCCAGGAATATTTCCTTTCCGAGACTGCGATTCTTTGTTTACATTTGAGTCGTTCCAGTAATATTGATTTTAAAGACTGTGTTGGCTGGGTTATTACATATGTTCCAAGATTACTTTTGGTTAAGATTATAAAGCAAATTTATTCATATATTTTTTTTTAAAGATTGCGTGAATAAATTTTGTAATATTTTTTTTCGAAGACTATCACAAATTTACGTAGTTCCAATAATATTCCTTTAAAGATTACATCATTTGATTCGTTCCAATTTTTTTTTTTCAAAGACTATATCAACAAAGCATTTTTTTTTCGGTTCCCTCGGATATACGTCGCAATATTTCCTCTTGTTCCAACACAATTTCTGCGCCACGTCTTTTAGGGGAGTCTGATATAATTTTTTTTCTCAAATATTTACGGTGTATAAATGTGACGTCTATTCCGTCTTACGCTGACAGTTCGCTTATATGGGAACCTCTGTAAGCAACTGACAGAGGGAGTCACAAAGGTTCGTATGTTACATTATTTCCCCTAAGTCAAAATATAAGAACGTATTTTACTGGTTGACTTCAGATAAAACATTAAAATTATCGTAAGGAAATGGAATCAGATTAACACTGAGACTCTACCTTAACTAGATATGTTTATTGTATCTAGTTAAGGTAGAGTCTCGGTGTTAATTCCCATATCATATTATATTTTACCTTAAGTCAACGAGTCAAATCACAACCGAAATCTTGACTTACGAGAAAAAAGAAAAAATAATTCACTCGTAAGAACGTCTGACTGTGTTACGTGTGTCCCAGCAGCTGATTGAAAACCGAACGTAAAGCGAAATTCTATTACAGTTTTCGTCGTCAAATTCACGTTCAGAATATGTGTGTGTGTGTGTGTGTGTGTGTGTGTGTGTGTGTGTGTAGTAGTAGTGTGCGTATATGTATGCATGGTGTCTAAGTGTATGTACGTTAATAATCTATAACTATCTACAAACGTCAGTGTGTGTGTGTGTGTGTGTGTGTGTGTGTGTGTGTGTGGTTTTGAGAATTATATAATAGATTAGAGGTAAAACAGAACACACACACACACGCAAACACACACAGTAAGCTCACACACACACACCAAGAACGACCACCTCATCCACCCAAACGACCCCCCCTCTCCCCCCAAATACCTCAGGTCGTATCATAGTCCACTGGGGGAGTTGATACGCAAACTTTTTATACCTCCAAAAATAATCTTAAAACTCCACAAACTTTTTATATATAAATTTTTTGGCGAAAGTTGTTATTTTGGCGTTTTATGTATTTGGCGAGTGTTATTTTCGCGATTTTTATCCCATTTTTTCGTGGATTTAACTTTCGCGGGGAGTTTAATTTCGCGAATTGAACTTATCTTCATAGTTTAAAGTTGCAAAGTTTTTAATAAATAAAGTTTGTATATTTTAGTGTTGGTGTAAATTATTAAGTTCTTGATAATATGTATTTTGGGGGTAATTTTGTTTGTTTATTTATTTGTTTGTTTGTTTGTTAGTGCGATGACAAAAACATTACATCATAAACACCAAAAAAAAAAAAAAATATGAAATCGTAGAACAACAAAGAAACAAAAACTAAAAATGTGCTGGAAACATGATGGCGGAGGGGAAAAAAATCACGGGGGTGAAAAATAGTGAGGGGAAAAAAGTTTAAATAAAAGATGGGAAATTAACAGAGACAACAGCTATCAAACAATGACGAGGCAAAAACACGGGGAATAAATTGACGGGGAAATATATGACGAGGCAGAAAACACGGGGAATAAATTGACGGGGAAATATATGACGAGGCAGAAAACACGGGGAATAAATTGACGGGGAAATATATGACGAGGCAGAAAACACGGGAAATAAATTGACTGGGAAATATATGACGAGGCAGAAAACACGGGGAATAAATTGACGGGGAAATATATGACGAGGCAGAAAATACGGGGAATAAATTGACGGGGAAATATAGTTAAAAAAATTATGAAAGAAAATATTACGGGAAAAAAAATGCCGGAAATTTTAAGAGCTATTTAAAATATAATAAATAACTCAGGAAAATATAACTCCACCTGAATTAAACAAGGAAATTAACTAGGGAAAATATAATTAGTAGCTTAAATAATTACACGGGGAAAAAAATAAACAATTAATCACACAAAGACACTAAGAGCTAGAAATTAATTACCTAGAGGAAATATAATTATACCTTTAAGGAGGAAACAGATGAGGGACAATGAGAGGAAAAAACATAGAATATTAATGAGGTTAGGTGAGGAAAATTATGCAGGAAAATATAATAATGACTTGAGGAAAATAACGCGGGAAACCATTAAGGCGGGAAACTGAGAAGCCAAAAATGAGGGAAAATATGATGAGGAAAAAAGGTAACAGGTGGAAAATAATAGAGGAAAGTATACCAGCTGTTAAATATGTGGAAATAAGGCGGGAAATAAGGGAAATAAGGCGGGAAATGAGGGAAATAAGGCGGGAAATGAGGGAAATAAGGCGGGAAATGAGGGAAATAAGGCGGGAAATGAGGGAAATAAGGCGGGAAATAAGGGAAATAAGGCGGGAAATAAGGGAAATAAGGCGGGAAATGAGGGAAATAAGGCTGGAAATTAGTCAAATAACGCGGGAAATGAGGGAAATAAGGCGGGGAAAGCATGAAGGCGGGGAAACTAGGGCGGAAACTTGAGCATAAAAAAAAAAGGCGAACCGACAAAGGGAGGAGCAGTATATTGGGGCGTCTCTGAATCTCTCATCGAGTTACATCTTCATGCATAAATGAGACTCGGGGCCAAGGAGCGATATATACTCGGTCGCTGGGAGGCTACGATGGAGAGAGAGAGAGAGAGGATGTGGTTTGGGGGAGGGAGAGAGGAAAGGGAGGGAAGAGGGAGAGAGGGAGAAAGGAGGGAGATATTGGGAGGAGGCGGTTAAGGAGGGAGAGGGAAGGGGGGGAGAAGAAGACCGCTAGGGGAGATAACAGAGACATAGGGGGGTGAGAGACATTTCGGCGAGGCAATAATAGGTACCGGAGATATTGAAAAGATAGTAGAATGGGAAAAGACACCCTGCATAATAATGACCCGGGCAGGTGTGAGAGATAGTGAGAGATAATTAAGAGACACCCACCTGTAATAATGGCCGGGCAGGTGTGAGAGATAGTGATAAGACAGTGAGAGACACCCACCTGTAATAATGGCCAGGCAGGTGTGAGAGATAGTGAGAGAGATAATTAGAGACACCCACCTGTAATAATGATCCTGGCAGGTGTGAAAGATAGTGAGAGAGACAGTGAGAGACACCCACCTGTAATAATGACCCGGGCAGGTGTGAGAGATAGTGAGAGAGACAGTGAGAGACACCCACCTGTAATAATGATCCGGGCAGGTGTGAGAGATAGTGAGAGAGACAGTGAGAGACACCCACCTGTAATAATGATCCGGGCAGGTGTGAGAGATAGTGAGAGAGACAGTGAGAGACACCCACCTGTAATAATGATCCGGGCAGGTGTGAGAGATAGTGAGAGAGACAGTGAGAGACACCCACCTGTAATAATGATCCGCAGGTGAGAGAGATAGGAGAGAGATAATTAGGAGACACCCACCTGTAATAATGATCCGGGCAGGTGTGAGAGATACTGAGAGAGATAGTGAGAGACACCCAC